AGTTTTAAGTTTTTAATTACTATATGCAATATAGGGAAAATCAATGACCCCCTAGGGCGGGCCAATTTTGACCCAAGGGCTTTTATTTGAACAAACTTGGTAAAAATCCATTAGAACATGTTTCATGCTAAATATCTTAGCTCTAGCTCTTAGGGTTCTTTAATAGAAAGATTTTTTTAAGTTTTTACTCTATGTATATAGGGAAAATCAATGACCCCTGGGGCGGGGCCAATTTTTGACCCCAGGGCTTTTATTTGAACAAATTTTTGGTAAGACACCCATTAGAAGATGTGTCATGCTAAATATCTTAGCTCTAGCTCTTTTGGGTTTTTTTAAAAGAAGATTTTTAAGTTTTTTACTAATGTTTATTGGGAAAATCAATGACCCCCGGGGCTGGGCCAATTTTTTGACCCCAGGGCTTTTATTTGAACAAACTTGGTAGACAAACTCATTAGAAAATGTTTCATGCTAAATATCTTAGCTCTAGCTCTTTGGGTTCTTTAAAAGGAGATTTTTTTAAGTTTTTACTATATGCATATAGGGAAAAATCAAAAGACCCCCTGGGGCGGGGCCAATTTTGACCCCAGGGCTTTTATTTGAACAAACTTGGTAGACACCCATTAGAAGATGTTTCATGCTAAATATCTTAGCTCTAGCTCTTTGGGTTCTTTACAAGAAATTTTTTTAAGTTTTTACTATATGCATATAGGGAAAATCAATGACCCCCTGGGGCGGGGCCAATTTTGACCCCAGGGCTTTTATTTGAACAAACTTGGTAGACACTGATTAGAAGATGTTTCATGCTTAATATCTTAGCTCTAGCTCTTTGGGTTCTTTAAGAGAAATTTTTTTAAGTTTTTACTATATGCATATAGGGAAAATCAATGACCCCCTGGGGCGGGCCAATTTTTGACCCCAGGGCTTTTATTTGAACAAACTTGGTAGACATCCATTAGAACATGTTTCATGCCAAATATCTAAGCTCTAGCTCTTTGGGTTTTTAGAAGAAGATTTTTTTAAGTTTTTACTATATGAATATAGGGAAAATCAATGACCCCCTGGGGCGGGGCCAATTTTGACCCAGGGCTTTGATTTGAACAATCTTAGTAGACACTCATTAGAAAGATGTTTCATGCTTAATATCTAAGGTCTAGCTCTTTGGGTTCTTTAAAAGAAGATTTTTTTAAGTTTTTACTATATGCATTATAGGGAAAATCAATGACCCCCTGGGGCGGGGCCAATTTTGACCCCAGGGCTTTTATTTGAACAAACTTGGTAGAACACTTACTAGAAGATGTTTCATGCCAAATATCTAACCTCTAGCTCTTTGGGTTTTTTAGAAGAAGATGTTTAAAGTTTTTTCTTTTGGTTGCCATGGCAACTAGAGTTCTGCATGGAATGGAATTCTTTGAACAACTTTGTTAAGGCTTCACACAAGGAACATCCCTGTGAAGTTTCATTATGATCTGCCCTATGGTTTCAGAGGAGATGTCGTTTGAAAAGTGTGAAGGGACAACGGACGACGTACGACGTACAACATACGACGGACGACGGACGAAGAGTGATCCTAATAGCTCACCCAGAGCATATGCTCAGGTGAGCTAAAAAGCACAATGAACATGACCTGTACCGTCCGGGAACCGACCCTGGGTGACCCAATTCAAAGGCAAACACTCTACCTATTGAGCTAACTGAATGTCTTTTTATATGTAAAAACAACCATTGCTGTGTATTTGATTAGATACACTAAGTGAAAAAGTGACTTCCACCCAGGAAGGCTATATGTCCTACCACTGCAGTCAGAGGCAAATTGTGGCCCTGTGAGCTTTGATTGAAATTTCTTGGAAAAGAAAGTAGCAAATATGAGATGTACAATTTTCTTCTTTTTTTGTGTGAACTTTTGTATTTTCTAATGGAGACACAGAGCATACTGTTTGGTACTTGCGATTAAAGCCACTTGCACAAAAAGGAAGGTACAAAAAAATGAGTTGCCTAGTTTTGCATTATTAAAAACACTGGTTTACCTTACAATTTCATCAATTTTTATACAGAAGTCTTCTACGGAGATATTGTCAAGTTTGAATCTGATGCTGATATAGTAAAAGCATTCACGTTAAGAAAGGTACACAGTTCCCTTACCTTGGTATCATAATATAAAAGCAAAACAAAATTCATAGTTAAATATGAAGATTACATTCATGTTTTCATTGTTTTTTTTACACCAAACATTGCTCTCTCTAAATTTCAAAATAGCAATCGAAAATTTGGAGAGTAGCCAGTGTAAACAAATCTGGCAAAGGTAAAATGGTAAAACAGTGAATACTAGCACTCTCAGAGAGCACAACATTAAAGTTCTGCAATATTTTACGCTGCAATTAAATTCTCTCTTTGCAATATAAAAAGTTAAAAACACAATGCATTTATTTTAAGAGAGATTCAAACATTATTGAACAGTATCAGTACATCAGAAGAACAGCAAATACTGTGAATTCAGTTAATTTCGTGGGCATGAAATTTTTTTGTTTTGTCACGAAGAACATTTTAGTGGGTTCTTAAATTCGTGGAATATATATTTTTTCAAAATGGTAAAATGTAAATAATGTGATGCAAATGAAATTTCGTTGGATTTTAAATTTGTGCATTGATGTCACCTAACGACAAAAACCATAAAAATTAATTCCTCATGAATAATATTGATTTTGCAGTAATCTTTAGTTAAATTCAAATATGGCATAACTATGCCATCAGCAAAGGCAGATACATGTACTTGATTATATGGCTAAAGAGCACATGAAAGTAAAGCAATATTACATGTTACTTAATGCCTCCTGTCTTCATTATAAGTGAACTACAAGTTAGTTAGCAAATATTTTATAGACCAAAGCCGAAGGTTGAGGTCAGCTCATCTCAGATTGAGTAGGATAGCTGATTTATTTCACTAAATTCTAATATTTCCATTAACTTAAGTAAACAATACTCACAACACAGATTCCGAAGTAAACGTGTGACACTGTGACGAAGATACCATATCCTGTGAGAATATAGAATTCTAGAACACCGAGGCTGAGGAAACACACCGTTATTACGATAGTAAATAACGGAACTAACAACCAGTTGACTAGCTCACACCGTGTGTTGCTCATCTGTGCAATAATTAGCCGACACTGAAAAATAGTAGTACATTATACAATAGAACAAGCATCCGATAAAATACAGTCAATTATATGATATATCAAGTTTCACACTAAAATACAGTACATAACTGTGAATACATTTAATTTTGTGGGCATAACATTTTGTGGTTTTGTCATGAAGAACATTATCGTGGGTTCTTAAATTCGTGGACTGTCTATTTTTCCAAAAGGTAAATAGTGTGATGCAAAATTATCTTACAGCAGATGAAATGAAATTTCCTTGCTTCTTAAATTCTTGGATTGACCTTCATGTATCCAAGAAACTCACAAATTATAATGATTTTGCAGTATAACAAGAGGGCCATGATGGCCCTGAGGTCGCTCACCTGTATATAGGCCCCCCCCAACGTTGCAGGGCCAATTTAACCCAAGGGCTTTTATTTGCACAAACTTGGTAGACACCCATAAGAAGATGTTTCATGCTAAACATCTAAGCTCTTGCTCATTGGGCTTTTTTAAAAGAAGATTTTTTTTTAAGTTTTTACTATACACATATAGTTAAAAACAATGACACCCCTGGGGCCGGGCCAGTTTTGACCCCAGGGCTTTTATTTGAACAAACTTTGTAGACACTTACTAGAAGATGTTTCATGCTTAATATCTAAACTCTAGCTATTTGGGTTTTTTCAAAGAAGATTTTAAGTTTTTGCTATACACATTTTGAATTGAAGTTAAAAACAATGACACCCTTGGGGCCGGGCCAATTTTGACCCTAGGTCTTTTATTTGAACAAACTTTTTAGACACTCACTAAAAGATGTTTCATGCTTAATATCTTAACTCTAGCTTTTTGGGTTTTTTCGCGGTGCCAATTTTGACCCCAGGGCTTTTATTTGAACAAACTTGGTAGACACCTATTAGAACATGTTTGATGCTAAATATCTTAGCCATAGCTCTTTGAGTTCTTTAAAAGAACATTTTTTAAGTTTTTACTATATGCATATAGGGAAAATCAATGACCCCCCGGGGCGGGGCCAATTTTGACCCCAGGGCTTTTATTTGAACAAACTTGGTAAAAACTTATTAGAACATGTTTCTTGCTAAATATCTTAGCTCTAACTCTTTTGGTTCTTTAAAAGAAGATGTTTTTAGTTTTTACTATATGCATATAGGGAAAATCAATGACCCCCTGGGACGGGGCCAATTTTGACCCCAGGGCTTTTATTTGAACAAACTTGGTAGACACCTATTAGAACATGTTTGATGCTCAATATCTTAGCCATAGCTCTTTGAGTTCTTTAAAAGAAAATTTTTTAAGTTTTTACTATATGCATATAGGGAAAATCAATGACCCCCCGGGGCGGGGCCAATTTTGACCCCAGGGCTTTATTTGAACAAACTTGGTAGACACCCATTAGAACATGTTTCATGCTAAATATCTTAGCTCTAGCTCTTTGGGTTCTTTAAAAGAAGATTTTTTAAGTTTTTACTATATGCATATAGGGAAAATCAATGACCCCCCGGGGCGGGGCCAATTTTGACCCCAGGGCTTTTATTTGAACAAACTTGGTAGACACTCACAAGAAGATGTTTCATGCCAAATATCTAAGCTCTAGCTCTTATGGTTTTTCAAAAGAAGATATTTAAAGTTTTTTCTTTCGGTTGCCATGGCAACCAGAGTTCTGCATGGAATTAAATTCTTTGAACAATTTTTAAAGGTGACCACCAAAGGAACATTCCTGTGAAGTTTGGATGAAATTGGCTTAGTGGTTTATGAGGAGATGTCATTTAAAGTAAAAGTTTACAGACGGACGCCGGACGGACGCCGGACGAAAAGCGATCACAAAAGCTCACCCTGTCACTTTGTGACAGGTGAGCTAAAAATATATTGAATGACGTTTCCTAGAGTTTTCATGCAGATTAAATACAGACAGAATGAAAGCTGTTATAAATAATTTATGTAAATTGTGCACAATCTGAGAATATGGAAACAGAAATATTTTAAGTAAAAGTAGAAATGTATCCACAGGACATGGATGCCCTCACATTAAAATCTGCACAGATGGGCAGGCTAGCCTGGCACAATAATGGTTTTTAATTTTTTTTTGGGGGGGGTTACGTCACATCAACACAGTATAGGTCATATTGCGACGTTCCAGCTTTACTGGTGGAGGAAGACCTCAGGTGCCCTTCCATGCATTATTTCAGGCATGAACCGGCACCCTAGTAGAACCACAGACCTTTCGTAAGCTAGCTGGATAGCTTCCTCACATAAAAGAATCCAAAGTCCCTGTAGGGATATGAACCCACAGCGGTGAGGGGCAGGTGGTTTGAAGTCAACAACCTTAACCACTCGGCCACGGAGGCCCTCCAATAATGGTTAAAAAGCTGAATCAAAACACTTACAGCTATATTTGAGAATACTGTTCCAGTAGTGCAATAAAATATTCTAGGATGTTTTTGTATGATCTCGTATGACGAATACTTTGCCCACGTTATCATCAAAGCAAATAGTATGAAAGTTGATACTAGTGGGCGGAGAGACTCTGACAGACTTAACATCTTCCCGGTCTTATCTCTATATCCTCTGTAACATATATATATATAAATTATTTCAGTTTAAAGCTGCATGCCTCCAGATGACCCAAATATTTCAAGAAAATTAAACTTGGAAAAGCTGTACTATAATTTTAAGAAAAGTAAACAGATTAAAGATTCAAGTCATCATTTTATATTTATGTGCAATTAATGACTGTTTTTTTGCAGTATTTATCCCCATATTTCTACTGCGATTAAAAGTGACTGTATCTAAAAAAACAAACAGTGCAATCTGATTAAAACCAGCTCCTAAATAATGCTATGACAAAACCAACATAATGGGTCACGCAGTCTGATCAGGATCCATGCTGTTCGCTATCAGTTTCTCTACTTGTAATAGGGCTGGTAAGCGAACAGCATGGATCCTGATCAGACTGCGTGGATGCGCAGGCTGGTCTGGATCCATGCTGGTCGCAAACGCACTATGTTGGTTTTGACGTGACGCGGCTCATATTAGATCTGACATCCACCCATAGGTAGTCACCTACTCGTGGTCTTTCAAACAACCAATCATTGGCGAGGTTTCATTATTTTGAAGTGATGGGGTTTCTAGTTTTAACCCTTAGAAAACCAATACTGAGTAGTTAATTTTCACGATTTCGAGAACAAACATGACATTGTCCATATAGCCGACAGGTAAACTGGCAAAACATTCTTGCCCATTAAAAATTGAGTCTATTATTTCAAGTTGATTTGTTAAAAATAACTTCAAACATTTTTTTCTAACAAAAATTAACAATTTGTTTAACTTCCACGGACAACCGTATTTAGAATACTTCTTCTAATGCATATCTGTAAAAAAACAGTTTGATTGCATAGCTAAAAGTAGTTTTCTCTTAATATCCAAATTTTAAAGAAGGTGAAACATATACGGTGGTCATTAGATCTACATGGAATAGGATGGTCCCTTATGGTACCATTGTTCTTATTATTTCCAGCAAAATGTACAAATAAAAAGATCTTGTATTTATTATTTTATTAAATTGTGTTTAACTGTCGCATCTTGACTTCAAAATACACATGTCATTCATAGAATAACTCAATGATTTAAATTAGAAACATCTATGATCAATCAGCCATGTTTTGAACGGGAGCTTAAGGGGAGAGCACTATGATACCATGGTATGTAAATTGATGGCCCTTTTTGGCTTCATTAGAATTTTTTAACAGAATATGACGTCACTACAGTTTCAGCAGACGACCTTCACTTGTCAGAACATGAAATTATCAGCTTAACTGGTAAATATGGGGTACAATAAAGAAGTATTTTCAACACACCGCGGGCAGCTTTTGATTTTCATATCACATGACAGAAATTTATTTGAAATGAAAATATTTCTAACAATTTTTATTCGAATTCAAAAAGTAGCACTACCACTTTCACTTTAATGGTGAAAACAGTCAATTGGTGGTGTTCAGTGTGTAAAGAAACACATTTTCTGATTACACTGGAATGGGCAAGGCCACGGTACCTGCGGGGATACTATATATAAGTAGATCTGAATTTTAGTCAGATTGACAACCAGTGCAGACCAATATCATCAACACATCCATGCTGGTTGACGAGTGATCATAGTCGGCAATGATCGCTACTCAGTCTGTACTGGTTTTGAAATTTTCTCCTAAAAATGATTAATGGTTTTGTCCTCATTGAACAAAGGACAAGTCCATTTCAGATATTTTGAGGTAGTTAAGGTTAAATATAAACTATATGAAGATTGATTTTAAAGAGAAATTCAGGCTGTCAACCAGGTCTTATCCAAAATATAGGAGGAATATAGGAATATTTTAGCAGGAAATATAGGAGTTTTTGGACCATCTTAAGGCAAAAAAATAGGAGTTTTCAACTTAAATTGTTTAACTTACCAATGCTTATATAAATGTAAATTATTCTTACTTTTCCACATGCTGTTTCTACAATAAAATGTCTACCGTATAAGTGAAGGAAACCATTAGCAGGCTGTCCAGCACCTTCCAACATAAAATTAGGGCGAATTTTACAGTAATATTTCAGAAATTTTAGGGCTAAAATTAGGAATTTTAGGGTACGTAATAGAAATTTTAGGGCTAAAATTTGCAATTTTATGACTAAATAAACTAAGGTCCCAAAAGAACACGATGTGGGCTAACCTTTGCATATTTGACACAAAAGTAACTCACAAATAATGCTCTAGTTTGAGTTTAGTAATAGAGCAAAGGTGCTACCAGTGTGGACTCACTGGTCAACTGCCTCCCCTGCAGAAATGGTCATAGTCAAATCATGTTCAAACCATTTTTTTTTTAAATGGCTGAACATGTCAAAAAGAACATGTTCTACCTATGTTTTGGGAATGTTATAACCACAAGTGTCTAAAAGGAATTCTTATACAGTGAAATTCTTGCACAATGCAGCTTTTGAATCATAATTATGGACAAATGAAATTTTTTGTAAAAGTAGGTAAAAAGTAAAAAGGCATTTGCCTTAGTACAGTCATTTGAATAAATGGGAAACATCTATATTCAACACAAAGAATTGCACATCAAAAAAGTTCATCACACAGACCATTCAATTGCACTTTATCTAGATCACATAATTGCAAAATGTGTGTACATTGTAATTGGAAATGAGCTTTATATTACTGAACTGCCAAATTATTTTGAGTGTGATTAATTATATGAGTCTGCCTTTCCTAAATTGCACCAAATGAATGAAAGAACAAGAACTGAATGAAATTGATAACTTTGTGGCAAAATAAGCAATTTCTCCTACAAAGATACAAAAAGAATAAATAAGTATGAGGGAAAGAATTAATTTTTCAAAGTCTATGTTAACCCATTCAGTACTTTACAATGTTGTTTTGACATTATGCAGATTTAAATAAAAGAGTTGTGAGTAAACAAATTGTGCATTAATTTTTGACAACTATTTATACATGTTTTTAATTAAGATTTTGTTACAACAGCTTCATAATGATCATTTTCAAATATGATATGATTCAAATGGACCACTTCAGAAATTTGGATCAAATGAACAAACATAAAATTCAAGATATCTGGAGTTGGCAAAGCAGTGTCATATTCCAGAATAAGTGGACTCTTATGGTTATGATTTAAGTTTCAGGACAGTGATATGGTAGTGTTTTTGCTGTTAACTGTCAACATGATTATCAACAACTGCTTTGATTATGAAATAGCAATGTTACTGACATAGTCAAAGTAACTTTTAGTTTAAACGAAACCATTTCAATGTCATCAATTTTGAGTTGGCAAATCATGGCCAAATCATTTTTGACAATGTTCAAAACATGGTCGACTTTGAGTTATGTTTATAGGGTTACAAGTTATAAGTATGTTTAGTACAAAAGATAAAAAATAATTAGGAATTTCAGTGAAAAAATAGGGAATTTTTAGGAACTCCCTTCTAATTTTTCACTTTTTTAGGAATTTTAGGGATGCTGGACAGCCTGCATTAGCTTTAAACCACAGCATCAGCAGAAAGTTACAGCAATGCATGACCATCATCTGAATGGTCACCTGAAATAAATGTGACATACTGATGCACTGCTTTTCATGGTGACCATGCAGATGGCTATGTGGAGCACAGCAGCCTTGAGCATGTAATGTGATGCTGATGCAGGCATTCACATTCTCTTACCTGTAAAATTCAAAAGGCAGAAAGCAGTACCAAAATTTAAATCTCTTTGAATTCCTCGGCAATATCCTTTTTAAACAAGAGCGATCAGTAATCACATGTGTCGCCTCATGAAGGCAAATTTCATGTTGGGACAAATTTTGTGACAGACAGACAGACAGACGGACAGTGCACAACTAGACTTGGTACTGATCATTCCTGTAAAGTTTGGATAAAATTGCACCAGTAGTTTATGAGTAGTAGTCCGGACAAGCTTTTGCGTATCTGGCAACACACAGAAAAAAACACCTTTTTATCAAAGGGCCATAACTCGGCCAAAAATCATTCAACCGGAAAACCCGTGCAATATGCGCAAGGACTTGAGCTACAGATCAATCCTGTAAAGTTTCATTGAAATTGCATGAGTGGTATAAGAGAAGTAGTCCGGACAAACTTTAAAAATAAAAATTATTAAAGGGCCATAACTCTGACAAAAATCATTGAACCGGAAAATGCTGACAATATGCACAACTAGACTTGGTACTGATCATTCCTGTAAAGTTTGGATGGAATTGCACCAGTAGTTTATGAGAAGTAGTCCGGACAAGCTTTTGTGTATCTGGCAACACACAGAAAAAGAAACCTTTTTATCAAAGGGCCATAACTCGGCCAAAAATCATTCAACCGGAAAACCCGTGCAATATGCGCAAGGACTTGAGCTACAGATCAATCCTGTAAAGTTTCATTGAAATTGCATTAGTGGTATAAGAGAAGTAGTCCGGACAAACTTTAAAATAAAATTATTAAAGGGCCATAACTCTGACAAAAATCATTGAACCGGAAAATGCTGAACTAGACTTGGTACTGATCATTCCTGTAAAGTTTGGATGAAATTGCACCAGTAGTTTATGAGGTGTAGTCCGGACAAGTTTTGTGACGGACGCACGGACAGACAGACAGACAGACAGACAGACTGACAGACGGACAGACAGACGACGGAGAAGTGATCCCTATATGTCGCCACTACTCCGTAGAGGCGACACAAAAAATATAGGAAAAATATTCAAAATATAGGAGAATATAGGAAAAATAGGAGGTTTTTTAAAATATAGGATTCGGACCCAAAATATAGGAGTTTTATAGGAATATAGGAATTGGTTGACAGCCTGGAAATTTAAGTTCAATTGAACTGCCCTTGGATTTGCTCTCTTGAGGGTGTGCAGTAAGGAAGCATTGTATTTTGAAACTGTAAGTTATGCAAAATACTCCTTTTTGTATGTATCTTTAATTCAGCAATCATGTCACAATGTCTATTTGTATCAATCAAAATATACTTAAAACATTAACTTACATGTAAACATTCCAGATTGTTATTGGAAAGGAAAATCCAAAACCAACTGAAACAGAAAGATAAATTATGTGATAAAATAAATCTAACATACATGTATATGCATATAATGTGTTGTGAATTACCTCCCCTTTGATTGGGTTCTAAGTAACACAGACCTTGTCAAGTACAAATGAATGCATCTCAATTTAATATTTCAAGCACATGTTAACAGTATGGTAGATGCATCGAAGAAGACAAGAGTTACTGGAAAGTTTAGTCAAACAATACTATTCAATGTTCCAAGCCAGATTCTTTATGTTTTATTTATGAGTTTAAATCACACTGACAATGCAGCAATGGCCATATGTTGACTTTCAGAGCTTTTACCTATAAAGGAATACCTCAGGTGGGGTGCCCCTACATGCGATATTTGTCACATTGAGTGGTACCACCAAGTATAAGCTAGCTTCACAGCTTCCTTATATGAAAGAATTTAAAGTCATGATTTGAACCTACAGAGGTAGGGTGGGTGGCAAATGATTCAAAATTCATGATTTTAACCACTCAACCGTGAGGCTCCCTTCACAAAATTCAAACCTTAGGTATTATAAGAAATCAATTTGTGTTGCACGTAAATCTGTTTGAAGTGGCTGCATTACAGAGTGATTAAGGTGTCAGACTAGTAATCAACGGACTGCTGACCACGTGGGTTCAAACCCCGTCCAGGGGAAGCCGTTGTTTCCTTAAGAAATTTTTTTTACATTCATTGCTTAGCACTAGTTGGTTCCAGGAACAGATTCGAGAGTGTTTCAATAAGTTTATAGCTTCTAACACAATTGAATTAAAATAAATTTGTATAAACTAAATCAGAGAGAGAAATGTATTCATAGCTTATACTTACCATACATTATAATTTCGAAATATTCAGCACCAGAAAAACCAAATAATGTGAACTTCCAGAATTCGTATCCGGTGACAAATGTAAATAAATATAAACTAGTCATTGCCTGAAAAAAGAGAGGAAATAAATACAGATATTACTTAATAAATAGATTTAACTTCAATGATTTCTATATAACTGTAATATTTTAATATTTTCTTCAGTGCTTCAATATATAGTTGAATCTATCTATACATTTTCTCATTTAAGGAAAATGCCATTTTCAAGTCCAATTTGTAAACCAATCTGTTCTGGATACCATGAAGACAAGTGGATGAGACCAAGGTAGAGCTCAAACTCGAAGTCTGTAGGTTCAAAGCAGGCACTTTAAGCATTAGAAGAAAGCCTACCTTGTTACCATTCTTTGCAATTTATTATTTCATAGCTACGTATTTTACAATATAAATGAAAACTAGAGTGTGTTAATAAATGTTTTTACAAGTGGATGAAGCTTGGATTTTTAAAAAGAATATGAAACTCATATGTCCGTCCCTCTGAGCATTATTTCATGCATATGTAGATACTTGAGTAGAACCATTCACCTTTTCCAAGCCAGGTTATTGGCTTAATATTGCACTGTAATATTCCATCCTCATAAAGGTATTGAACAGTTACACTGCTGTGCTCAAGAGTTAAACATCAAATGATGCCGGGTCATGACAAAACCAACATAGTGCGTTTGCGACCAGCATGGATCCAGACCAGCCTGCCCCATTCCGCGAAGTCTGATCAGGATCCATGCCGTTTGCTATCAGTTTCTCTACTTGTAATAGGGTTGGTAAGCGAACAGCATGGATTCCTGATCAGACTGCGCGGATGCGCAGGCTGGTCTGGATCCACACTATGTTGGTTTTGTCGGGACGTGGCTCAAATAAACAAAGAGCAAAACCTACCACTTGACTTAGAATCATAACCCCACGGCAGGAATAATATGCCGGTGTTGTATTTTTCCCAGTGTGATATTATAAAGCAGAAATTCACTCCTAGTAGAACCAGGTACACTCTAACACCTCTACACCGTGTTCACCTCTACCGAACACCGAATACATGGCCACCGGAATAAAGAAAGATGCCCAGCTGTCAAGCCCATGGTCAAATAATTCACCGAGCGGGGAGCTTGTACCTGTACGCCTTGCTTGCTTTCCATCTATACCATCTGTATAACAGAAAAAGTTTACAAATTTTTTTACCTTCATAACAATGTGTGATAAATTTTACTGATGAAAAAAACTAATTGTAGAACCAGAATGCATCCACAGTAAACATTTGGTGTACAGTTTTACAGTCTAACCTGTATCAAGAGAAGCCTCGGGGGACAGCTCAAAATTGTATGGTAATACACGTTAAGTAGTATTCTAATCCTTCATGAAATCATTCCAAATATCATGTGTATAACATGTTTTTCAGTATTAGTGAGAAGTTAAAGCACCCCACCTCCAGATTCATGGTACATTTCATTAAAATTTTAAAAATGTATTTCAAAGTAAAATATTGTGAAGTGAACAAAGAAAATAATTTAAACATTGCAAACAGCACTTGCAATCCAAGCAAATTATCAAAAAGATGTCAAAATAAGCAAAAATAGCCCTTACTGCGATAGTCATGCAGTAGGAATATGGTGATAAAGACTGCAAAATCAGTCATGAATTGTACATAACATGATTTTTTTTTATCTTTTTACTTTTATTAAAATCTGAGTACATTTTGCTCAATTTTAATTTTCTTGAAATGTTTTGGCTCATCTGGAGGCATGCAGCTTTAAGTTTCAAGATAAGCAGTTGAGTTATTCTTCTTTTAATAAACTTTCATACCTTAAATAAACAGTAAATCATCAATTATTATACAAAATTATCAATATAAAAAATTTACACTTCATGACTTACCTAAAGTATGTGATAGGAAGTTATTTATAGCACACATAAGCCACACCCAGTTGGGTATGGGAGGATGCTCCGGATGGTCCCGACTAGAGGCATAAAAGTCAAGGTCATAGTAAATCATCGTGACAAAATTCAGCACCATTAGTAGAAATCCTGCCAATGTCAATACATTTGGTGCAATCCATAATGGAACAAACTGCGAATAAAATAAAAAGAAATAAAAGCTTCATTTTCTAGTAGATAATTGTCAACAATTACTGAACATGCACCTTAAAAAAGCAACCTCAAATCAGGTGTCTAATTTCCAGTGCAGAGTGAACATTGAAGAAGTCAAGGTTGGAAGTTTAATTCTTTTATTTTGGTAATATGTAGAATAATTCATCAAACATAATGATACCATATTTGGACCTAAATGCAAATTTCATAAATCATTTGAATCAATGGTGGTTGACAATTAAATGGTACAAGAATTTGTTTAAACATATTTATTTTAGCTTGGTTGTTATAAGTTCTTGCAACTAATATTAATCACTTTCGAGTCTGCTTCTTGGAACTAACCAGTTACTGGTGTCATATGAAGGTTGTGATCAGGGCAGGGCTCGAACCCGTGATCCCTGAGTTGAGAGGCGGACACCTTAACCACAAGTTTACCACTTACCAAGAATTCAAACTTATAAATGACTTGACAATGTAAAACAAAAAGGCATGACCTAGGACTCATATTCTAGAATTCTATGTTCATAGAACAAACACACAACAGGGCTTATTAAATTTTGACCTGACACACGAGATCAACCAGCACATCTATACATCTAATCATGGTCTGATCATCGTCTGCACTTTACACCTAAAATTCATGAATGGTTTTGTCCAGACAGAAAGATGGACAAGTCTATTTAAGATATTTAGAGCAGTGAGGATCATTGCAAATAAAGGAGATAAAATCCTTATGACATACATACAAACTTTGTACTAACTGTATTAACCTACTGCAATGATAACCTAGATTAGATATGTCAAAGTGTCGGGTCAAGCTAGGTCAGCATCCTGATTAAGAAGTACCAAGCTAAGTTGGTTACACAATTATGTCAATTACCTGATTAATAAGTATCATCATGAATTAGATAGCCTATATATTTACCTATAGTTAACATGCAATTGGCAACCTTTGACTTATCATGATTTTAATGACTTCTATATTTAGAAGAGAGAGATAAAACAAAGTAAATGTGCATCAGGTGATGAATTAAGCATTTAAAACAAGCACTTTCAAATGTAAAATCAAGATTACTTCCTGTTTTCACAAGAATGCCACAAGTTAAAATATATAGGTTCCCAAAGAGGTACAATGATCAGAAGTAGCCAGTGCTTGTAATCGCAAGACAATGTACATACCAAATTGTATAGACTCGCAAGATATGTTACAGTGATATCTTTATTCCACTGTGACTCTGAATACTAGGATGCCATGTAACTATAGGGAATGAGATTCCATTAGAAACATACTGACTGTATTGCTTTAGACTCTCAAAATAATTTATATTTTGTAAAAAGACATTTTAACCATTCATTTCTGCGAAATATATCCACTAATTGATACTACATGTATATACCAGAAACCTTATCTCCTTGGCATTAAACATATATTACATGTATATATCTTACCATATAAGGAAACTGGGTTGTTGATTTCAAAACATTTTTGATTTATTTCAGTGTATTAAGAAATACAGTGCTTATAAATTTGCTCAGTTCAGTATTTAAAATAAATCACAAGATCCTTATCTGGGATTCAAACCCCAGACCTCTCGCTTCTAAAGCGCGCGTGCAACCCCTTGACCAAAGGGAGGTTATGAGACATCAGCCTGAAGCAAACCATATTATTCTAAATTTGGGTTAATCATTATTAATTTCAAGATATCTTGTTCACAAACCTGTTGTTTAACACTGATGTAAATAATCATGTCCCCGTCCTAGAGACTAGTCAACATCCTTACTTTTTTTTTAAGAAAGTTTAAATAACAAAAGTTCATTTAGATGATCACAATAATATGAAGCTTTACGGGAATAGCCGAGCAATTATCATTGATTAAAATGATATTCATCCGCGTAACAAAATTATTTGAATCTATTACTGGTAATTTGCGGAAATGTTACAAGATAAGAATTACACAATATTAGAAATCTTCAATCAATCAGGAACTATTTTTTCTTCTTTTAGAGGTTTGAAAATAATGTGCCCGTCATTTGACAATCTTTACGCAGTGATCTCCCCTTAATTTTTTGGCATTTAGAAGTGCACTTATAAAGGGCAGTAACCGCTTAAAGGAATTCGTGATGGACTACTTTTGGATTTTGCAAATAAGCATATCAGGGTCTAAAATTTCGCTACCATTATTAATGTTTGGTCTGACAACCCAAACAAATAATTATGGACAATGCCCATCACTTTTCATTTGGTTTCTGGGAGAGAGCATTTTATCAAGGACACAAAAAAAGATTGCATTCTGTGAGAAGTTGTTTATGTAGAATTTGTTTTAATTATTTTCGTGTGTTTCACTTCCATTATTCTTTTTATTAGAATTTATTTTAGCTCAAGTGTAAAGGAAACTTTAAGCTTTATAGACACACTCTCCAACTAAGCCACTCTTGAACCAACCAGTTCTAAACTTTCTTGCTCAAGGAAACAACAACTTGTCCTTGACAGAGGCTAGAAATTTTTACATTGTACATTTGATATTCATACATGTTTAACTCTTAGAGGGTATACAGTGTATAATTTTCAAACACACAAGTAAAAGCTGTCCAGTCAGCTTAATAGGAAAAATGTTTTACTGTGAATCGAGCAACCCAGGTTCGATTCCCAGACGGTGCACTCTGGTCACTTTCTTGTTGATTGGTCATTTGCACTGTACCTCTGCTCTGGCATGTACAGAAGTTACTAGTTCAAAAGTGGAGGCAACAAGTACTGATGATAAACTACTTGACGGCCTGCCCAGGAACAATGAGGTGGCTGAACTGTGCACTGGTTAATTCAATGTGGTTTACTCACGCCCGTTTAACTCACAACGAGTGAAAAATGTCCATCGGTTAAAATGTTGTGAGCAACTTCCGTTCCTCGTTGTGAGCACCCTTCTTTGACGTGTGACACGATAACCAAGGTGAGTTTTTCATTATTTTTGAAGATTACAGACATTTGTATAAAAATATCGGAATGCAGTTAGCTAGCGATGTGTTTTCCGAGTATGCACATGTAAAGATATTGCCTGTTGGTGGACAATTTGAGGGAAATACCGTGCGACGCAGTCACTCGGGGTAGCAGGAAAACTGGAGTAAACGGCTCTTTGGACCTAATTTTACATTGAAAACGTCGATTCTGGTGACGTTTTGTGCATTCTAACCTAAAAACAGATGCCCACAAGGCTTCAGCGTAAATTATTATCTGAAAGTCTTCGTAGAAACGAAGATATACCCTTTTTTGCTTTAATCCTCGTTGTGAGCACCATAACCTCGTTGTGGGCAAGACAAGCGCAGTGCGTGTATAGTTTTAATATGTAATTCAGATGGTGAAAATATAATTTTTAATCTACCACAGCAATGAAAACGTTTTTGCACAGCAGCATTTCTTTGCAAGACGTTGTGCATACCCAAAGGGAGGCACATTAGTTTTGAACGGTCCGTCTGTCAGTCCGTCAATCTGTCCGAAAACTAAACATTGGCCAAAACTTCCTTATTAGTAAACGGATTTGATTCATATTTGAACACAACATCTCTTAACACAAGAACTTCCTACGGACCTGTATTTTTTTTACCTTGGCCCCTGAATGGCCTTTACCTTGAAGGTCAAATTTTCCAAAACATTTGAGATTGACCATAATGTCCTTGCATAATGTTTAGGCACAACACATCTTTGGACAAGGCCTTTCAGGTATCCTATACACTTTTGACCTTGACCCCTGAATGACCTTCACCTTAAGGTATTAGGACACTAATGGGCACTATCAGGAACTAAAATATTGACATCATAGGTCAGATTTATACCTTAAAGTACACCTGTATGCAAAATTTAAACAAAGTTTACCATGCGGAAATCAAGTTATGGCCACTTTTCTGCACTCAAGCTATGATGTTATGAGGGCTCTTTTTTAGAAATTAGGAACCTTTAAATAATCTGCAATAACATTCTAATGAAAAATGTTTTCCCAATATTTTTTGGTTAGAAACAAATAGTACCATTCAGCTAACAATCCACATAAGCAAAATTATGGTTTCTACTTAAAATTTATGAAATCTGTATAAAAATGTTACCCTATCCCACCCATTTTTACCACATGTCTGACCATTTTTCTACTTAGGGAGCCTAATTTAAAAAAATTCTTAAAATTTACCCAAATGAGTGCCTGTTTTCAAAGTTTCCCTAAACTTTTAAAAAAGTATATTGGTTGATCTTGTAAAATATGAAATACTTTTACTGTCTAGTTTTGATTATATTACACTTTGAAAAATCAGGTACCATATTTATTACTAGATTTAGCATAATTTAGCCAATAAATACCTTTATATTTAAAGATCAAAATTAAACATTTTTTTCTTCAAATGGGACATGAGAGATACATAAATAATTTAAAAAAAAAAAAAGAAAGAAAGAAAAAGTTGACCTTTCTGGGGATTGAACCCATGGCCCTCATTTTCAATGTAGTTAACAGTAGTTCTAGCCTATTTGAAAACTCTTCAAAGCAGAGGTAATGCATTAGGATGCTAATACCTTAAAAATTGGTCATAACTTCCTTATTAGCATACGGATTCTACTCATATTTTGAAACGACACCCTTTTAGGCAAGACCTTCAAACTGATCTGTATTTCTATTATCCTGTACCCTGAATGACCTTCTAGAACATCTAAAAACTTAAACATTGGTCATAACTTCTTTATAAGTAAGTGGAATTAGTTCACATTTGTCATAACTTCTTTATAAGTAAGTTAAATGAGTTCATATTTGGACACAATGCCCCTTTGGACAAGACCTTCCAACTGACCTATATCTATTTCACCTTGACCTTGAATGACCTTCACATTGAAGATCTAACTGTCCAAAAACAAATAATCTATCTGGTCCATAAGTCAAAGGACAAAGCACCACTTCAGGGCATTGTCAACTTACCGTGATAGTTCTTGCTTTACATAACTTGGTCAGTCTTCAGCTCATGTGTATCACACAGATTGTGAAATTGTTGAAATATTCATAAACTCCCCGTGATGTTCACTCGTACCACACTAGAGTATACGAAATAAAATAGCTGATTTACCTCCACTGATTAGTTCTTCTGTTAATCTGATGATTTGCGAATATGAATAATAATTTTCAAGAAAGAAAAAGAAGAACTATTTCAAAGAAAAGCTATTGTACAAAAACGTTTTGATTGCTGTTGGTAGATTGAAAATTGTATTCTTGCCATTTGAATTACATATTTAAACCAGACAAGCACTGCGCTTGTCTTGCTCACAACGAGGTTATGGTGCTCACAACGAGGATTAAAGCAAAAAAGGGTATATCTTCGTTTATATGAAGACTTTCAGATAATAATTTACGCTGAAGACTTTTTGGCATCAGTTTTATGTGAGAATGCACAAAACTTCACCAGAATCGACGTTTTTAATGTTAAATTTGGTCCGGAGAGAAGTTGTCTCCAGTTTTCCTGCTACCCCGAGTGACTGCGTCGCACGGTATTTCCATCAAATTGTCCACCAACAGGCAATATATTTACATGTGCATACTCGGAAAACACATCGCTAGCTAACTGCATTTCGATATTTTTACATAAATGTCTGTAATCTTCAAAAAATATGAAAAACTCACCTTATTTATCGTGTCACACGTCAAAGATGGGTGCTCACAACGAGGAACGGAAGTTGCTCACAACATTTGAACCGATGGACATTTTTCACTCGTTGTGAGTTAAACGGGCGTGTTACTGATGTGATCCGGAGTGAAAACTACCAACACCACCACCACACACAAGTATTACATGTATATTTTACATGTTATTGAATTTGTTACATACCTAAAGTCAGTGTTGTGTCTAAATTATTCAAGTAATGTGGTGACAACACGGTCACCATTTATTCAATTCCTCAAATAACAAGTGTTAAATATCAGGAAATAAAGACAAGCACTTGTTAACATCATTCAAATGTCAGAAGAAAACAGCCATTCTATCATTTAACCTTATTATCTCTGCTTGAAATTAAAAGCCTGTTTTATATATGATGTGTTATAAGTGTTTAAGTGTTTTTGTAAATTTTTTTTAAATGCTTGATAAAAAAGTATTTTTGTTCCTTGTTTTCAACCTTAGAAAAGAAAGTAGTTAAAATTCCTATGTATCTTTTTATGTAATATATTCTTTTATATTTATAATTCTAATAGACTATGTAAAGAAAATGTCCATTTTCAAAAATCAGGAAAACCAAGTCAAATATTTCTAATCGGCTGTTAAATAAAAAGGGTACTGGAAGGTTGGGAGACCAGAAGCACAAACTTTTTTTCTGGCCTTGTTCCTGTGATTTGTGTGAAAAGAAACAACCTTGTTTCTCAATTCTCATCAATTAGTATTATATTTATTTTTAAAGTGATTGAGATACTTTGAAACCCCGAAAATGAGGAGTTTTTCCATCTAATCCAGGGGTACAAATCACTCTTTTAAAAATGTAGTCTACAGGGAAGCTGTAGCAGGGAAAAGATTGTTTAAACGGGGATTAGACAGGACAAACCAACATTTTGTCACCTTAGAACAGTAATGGATTAACGTTTATTAAATTATATAAGGAGTTACCCCGTTACGCCACTAAGATGACAATTTGTCATTTCCAGATAAAATCTATTGCAGGGGATATTGTACAGCATCTGTTGTAAAACATGGTACCCACCTTAACAACTCTGTTCCAGAATGGATGCATGACATAGTTAGACAATGGATTGGTATCCACGGCATTATACTGAAATAAAAACAAAATATAAAATAATTATATAAAATACATAAGCAAAAGCTCATACGGTCAGTATTGTAAAACGCAACTTTGTGGTATTGCAAATTTGCAATGCACTTAATCAAAGCTGCCAGGGGAGACAACATGCTTAGCTATTCTAAAACATGACAATAATGATAACATAAATTAATCAAGGAAAGTAAAAGTTATAATAGACAATTATAAATATATTGCTCTATTAACATAAGGAAATTTAATCTAAACCATTGTACATTCTATAATATGCCAGAAATCCAAATACATAAAATAAAGGTATTGGCACAATAATCTAGAGCAAAATGAAGTTGTTGGACACATTTCTATTTAGAATATTACATTACAATGTAATTTTATGAACTTCAAATATTTTGTTTCGAGACCATGGGAGAAAGAGAAATAATTCTAAGAAAATAAAAGATACGGTAACCAAAATATTTTATTTTGATTCGCATCATATATCAATGCTTAATAAACAAAACAAGTGAGAAAGAAACATATTAATTATTTTTCTAGAAATATGATATTTTAGAATTATGGTGGTTTTGTGGAACTACTGGTTCGGCGAACTTAATTTATGAACAGGTGCGAAAGTGGTTTTGTCAATCTTATTTTATATAGTAATTAAAGGCAAAGTAGCCTGGTTCATGTATATAAAGTGGTTTTATCATCAATATGTTTGTTGTAATCAAATTATGACACAAAATTTCAATAATGAATAGAATATATTGTAGAAGTATGTCTATATATTATACCTATTTTGATAATGATTTTTTCATTATTTGATTAATTAGTTTTGAGAGAAAAAATTAAATAGTATAAAAAAAAAAAATTATATTGGAGCCTTATTCGACGCCTTGGACAAGTGATGAGGTGACTTATTCCCAACTTCTTGTTTGTTTAATCATATTTTATTGCTAAATTATGCATGTAAATATACAGAGAAACAAATTGATTTCGAAATAACAAATAGCAAAAGGGTTGGGCCCAAGTTCTTACAACATTAGCGATCGGCCCTCCCAACTACTGAGATTATGTAGCCATATTTCAGGAATAAGATCCAACAACTTTAACGACAGGATTTATGAGGACGATTTTTAAGTTTTTATACAGAGTGATGAATAAAGATTAAAAACAGATTGTTGTTGTTTATTACGTAAAAATCATGGTAGATTTTCTTTAATTGTTTATATAGAGATGAATAAAGTATTTTAAAAAGATGTGTTGTTTATTCTGTACAAAATCATGGCACAATTTGTTCTTATTTTAGATTAATATTTTTATATGTTTTTTGTATTTCCTGTTTTTGTGTATATATTTAGATTATAAAATACATAATTAATTTTTTCTCTTCCAGGTTTTATTTTTCTGTGTATAATGTCGATTTTATTCCGATTAATAACATTGGTCCTTCTTTTTCAGCTTTTACCATTTTTGAGTACAGTTTAACATAGATTATAAAAAATGTTTTCATATTATACAGGCTTCACTTAATGTGTATATATATTTGTGTTAATTTTAAATCATTTTTTTCAGGCTTTACTTATATACGTACATGTATATATTTTTATGATGTTGTTTGTTTACTGAGATCTTTTGTATTGAGTTATGCTTTTATGTAAATATAACTATTATACTAAAGAAAAATATTAAATAAAAGGTTTAAATTTTCAATATATTGTCTTTAATTGCATAAAAATGTGTGATATGACATACGATAATTGACGTGCCCAGTATACAATAGATATTTTTTGCACTACATAAATTAAGTTCGCGGAAACCACAACCTTATTTATTATATAAGATTAGTTGGTCAACCGGTAGTTCGATGAAACCACTCTCAGCCGATATTTTATGTCTAACCGGATCAGGCATTTTCACCAGCCTGTTTTACTGGCTTCATATAAATTTCTTTTCATTATTTTTCGGCTGCAAACAAATCAAAGTTAGTAGTTAGTAACAAGAACAGAGATCAAATGGTACAAATTAAGACAATTGTGTTAAACATGAAGTAAAATATTGCCAAGCTAAAACTGTCCAATTGGGACGAGTAAACTAGGGGGCGAATTGATTGTCAATAAAATCAATAAAATAAAACAGTTGTTAATAGAGATTAAAATGCATGACGTGTGAACTTGTAGAAACGTCATAAAATCACAAATGAAAATCTCGTTTTCTGCCATACTTACTTTGTATTTATCAAAACCGTCTAATATTTCTTTTGACAGCACACAGGATTTTGCCATGTTTGTTCGATTGTTGTTGTTGTCGCTGAGAGCTGTCAACTTCCGGTGAAAACATAAGAAAATTTATTAATTATAAATACAATTAATCTTGGGAATAAAGTAATCAAATGACTGAAGATGAACGCGAAGCTGTTGAATCATTATTTTGTCTGCCAGGGGAATGTGAATTTCAAGGTGACATTGTGTTTATTTGATAGAATTTTATTTTATTCTTCGTTAAAAGTGAAATAGTAGTCGGATAGGAAGTGCTGTCTGTGTTTTTAATAATCAATTGAAGTGTCAACCCCTAGTACGAATCCTATGTAGTTAATAATTGTATCATAGTTTGGGGATCATACAGTTGAAAATGTGTCAGAGTTAAATCGTATACATATACATTATGCACAGACACTTGGGGTGTGGAAGCTTAAAACGCCTTTGAAATCCAAATAAAAGGTATATTTGTAAATCCCAGCACATGTACTGATCATATATATATAAAAAAACTTAATATAAGCCGTTTTGAAAAAATTTCATATTTCACCGTCTATAGTGTATTAGATTCTATTATAGACATTGAAATATGATTTTTTTCAAAACGGCTTATATTAATTAAGTTTTCTTGATATATATTATCAGTACATGCACTGCTTCGATTGACAAATATACATTTTATTTGGATTTTAAAGGCGTTGTTAGCCTAATTAATTTGGCGTGCACGGTTTGACCCATTTTACAGACTTTTTTTTTCTTACTGTCAAACCGTTACGCCTAATTTTAACTGTCATTTTTACGCACGGAAAATCTACCGGTAACACTATCGATAGTTTGGACTGTTTTTTACTGCTTAAACCTGAAAGTAACTTCAATTACCTCTAAAGATCAATAGAATATAAATTTTAGTACAAACTTCTCCTAGAAAAAATAGTAGATTGTACCTGTCTTAACGCATACATGCGATTTATTTCAAATTTGTACTGTCTACTATATCTTAGGCGGACATGTTATGACGTCATCGTAAAAAATCGATTCCGTGAAAGCTGGTAGTAGCTACCAGTGTGTCTAGCAGGTAAGTGTGGGTTACGCATGAAGATTAAATTAAACGAAATATCGGGGGAAATAAATCTATTCATAATTTTTTAATAAATATGTGCATTATCAAATACTATTGAAAAGTATCATTGTATTTAACCTAAAATGCAATGGTTGCAAATAGGCTCTGTACAAGTACTGTTGTTTAATATTTTTTAAATATTTTAATCCATATACTCAACATTTATCAATAGGTGGTTTGCCTTCTTGTTTACTGCTAATGACTGCCAAATGTCACTCTTGGATAAAATACTGACTTCATTTATACATGCATATTTATATGATAATTAAGAACGTAAAAGAAATATTGAAGGAAACTATTTGAAATACACTTCAAATTATTCAGTATTTGTACAAATAATATTTCAAGAGCTCTTTTTCACCGATTGCCGATATATAATACCAAATTAAACCTATTGATAAAGTTAAATGTCTTCTTGACGTACTTTATTAATTTACTAAAAAGGAATTTTATTGTGATCCAGCCATATGCTGTGTAACTAACTACTAAGGAAGGGTCACATATTTTAATTGAAATAAATTTTAAGTAGAGGATATTAAAAAAAAAGTCATTGAGAAGATCAGAATTTTCAAATGAACAGATTAAGAGACTTATAAATGTATAAGGTGTATGTCTTGTTGTTTCATACTGTTTTGGTGACACTTTTGTTTGTGTCCCTTGTTGTTTTCTCGTCTATGGTAAGTTTCTTCCCTTTGCCCCTAGTTTTATTTCGCCCCCTCCCCCGAATTTCCTATCCCCTTCCCCTGTGCTCGTTAACTTAGTGGTCCTATTAATCATTCATTTATTAATTTTCTTTGATTTCCTTCTCAAGTACATTTTAGTGATAAGTCTGCCCGTGCTCTCTCTTGCGCCCTCTCCCGTTTTAATTTAGGATCCTCCTGGGCTCCTTGCCAATGGTTCATGTTCCTGGGTCGTGTGGGGTTTGCGTTCATTGAACGCCGCCTTTCCTTGTTCACCTTGTTTATCATATTGTATACATGTATACCGAACCGTAACAAACAGATAATGATTATCAATACAAGGTTCGGCAAGCAAGCAGAAAAATGTAAAGAAACAGAAAAAACTTATCCACATTCATGTATCAATCCTCCAAAAAACCCCACCAAAAACGCCTGAAACTGCAAAATAGAAACATAAATACACAGGAGTGCCAAAGACGGCTCTGGTAGGTTCAAGTGCTCCCTTTCGCCGGTTAAAACAGAATTGATCACTTAAACATAATAATGTTGAAAATTTTTTAATCAACATCCACAGATGTTGTACATAATACGGCGGTAATCATGGATCTTTCAATGTGACACATTCGAGGTGCCGTTCAACGGGAACTAGATAACATGGAATTTTTAATGGTATCAGAGGTTTTGGTGCCTTTTGCGACAGTCGTTCCAACATTTCTCCCATCTGTCTTACATTGTTATGCTATTCAACATCTAAATAACGGTCACTAAATTTCCGCTTGCTGTGTTTTTATCATAAACCCCCGTCAAATCTGTGCGACAATGGTATTTTACTGAGGACTGTCTGAAATTCCATTTTATAGTTAGAAATTTTAAGATTTTTTTTTCAGAGTTTTTAAGTTATTTTTGGTTGTTTTGAACTTCTTCCCATACACAACCGTCCTCAATTTCTTTTAAAGATAATAAACTAGAAATTTATATGGAGTGTAATATAAATTGAAATTCTTCTTTGCTTCATCATGTATAGTATAATTATAATTCATTAAGATGTACCTACAATTACATTGTATTTTCGTATGTGGGAAATCATGGCAGGGTTATAATATAAAAAGGTAGTTCAGAAATTTCACCTAATGATCACAGATGTTAAAAAATCCAACTTAATAATATCTAATTTGACAATTTAAACGGACTTAAATGCAGTATGATCTGACATCGGACATCATAAACTATTTAATTTCTAAGTAAGGTTATCATAATTTCCTTTACACATTCTCTTTTTAATGCTGAAATATTTGTGTGTGAATAAAAGAGTTATTCCTGCAATAATTCATATAAATAACATAAACAAATTGTATAATAAAGCTTGGCAAATACAATCGATTGCCACCGATACCTGTGTTACACCATGGATTTTACCAGTGTTTACAAATTTACCATGACACCGCTTTCCAATATGGCCGCTTTCAATAATTTTCAACGATTAAAAAAATTAAAGTGGAATATTTAGACTTCTGTTCGACTTTGAAGTATGATAATTTGGAACCTTGCATAAAAAACGATTCTCTTTCAGGTAATGTAGACCGTTTCTTTGAAACTTTTCTAGTTTTCGCTCCCAACAACTTCTAATTGGGAAGCGTCCGTGCATAAAAATGGGCTATTCCAGAAAATATCCGCACCCCCCCTATAGAAGAGGTCTGAGATGAAAATACCCCCCCTAGGACAAACACTCAAAATGACCCCCTTGGACAACCTTAAATGTAAGATTTTTGCCCAAAATAACCCAATGGACAACCTATGGAAGAGACTTTTGATCAAAGTGCCGTCCTTTTGACAACCTATGGAAGAGACTTTTGCTCAAAATGACCCCCTTGGACAAAAAATTTTCAATAATCCCCCATTGACAAACTGCTGAAAATTGACCCCCTAGGACATCTTCCATAGGTATATTACTATTAAAAATAGACCCCCTGGACAACCTATGGAAGAGACTTTTGCTCAAAATGACCCCCTTGGACAAAATTTTTCAATATCCCCATTGACAAACTGCTGAAAACCCCCT